GAAAGAACAAGAAATCTGAGAAATCAATGTTGTGTGCCAGCGTGTTTAGCCCACCAAAATGAAGTGCTAATCACTGAAATAAGATACCATATTACATTTATAAATTAATGAAACTAGAAAAAGCAGCATGTGTGACACTATAATTAAACAGCTGGAACACATCCAAGCCTGTGTAAGTTGATAACCCTGCCACTGTCTTTGGCAGCAAAAAAGCAGGTCTGCCGTGAGTTGATACGGCCAGCACAATTGCTAATTCTCTAACAGACAATCTATAAACACGACTAATTACACACGAGGAAAACAGTGCACAGCCCAGGTTGGTTACTTTCAAAAGCATTAAAACGCTCAAGAAGTCTACTTTTGCAGAACTGCCTTGTAAATAAATAAACAAACAAACAAACAAACAAATGCTGCCTTAATCATTTCTCCAAGCTGTAGCTTAGTAGAATCAACCACCTTGCCTGACAAACCTCAGCTCTTTTATAAATTTTTGCAAGAAGTACCTAATGATAATGGGTATTTTCCCCTCCTCCTCCTCCTGTAGGCCATTTTCCTTTAATGGCTACAACAATAACAGAACTATCAATTATCCATTTCAAGGTAGAACAAACAAGCAATCTAGAATGTTCGGTCTTTTTTTAAAAAAAATTGAAAAGGGATTACGAATATGAGTATAAATCTACAAAGGGCAGGTCAGAGTCTAAATCTTTTTAGAGAATCACTTTAAAGAAGCTGGATAATTAATGAAATCTGTTCAGGTCCCCCAGTTATCAAATCTCATTCTAGATAGACAATGACTAAAAATTTATTCAGGGCGCATCTCTAGTTAAATAAACAAATGACACATTGCAAATTGTTTTCTACCAGTTATATCATTCAGGGAGTGAAGGAGGAGAAAGAATGTATTTTATTTTTAAAAAATTACTTCAAAACACAGCAGAAAGGTGTGTTCCTTAAACAAAGCCATTCTTTTTTAAAAAAAATTGAAAGGATGGCAGGTGAAAGGTAAGTGGTTTTTTAAGGAATGTGATAGGGCCACATTTCAAAAAGTTAATAGGGACTAACCTTAATTTACATCTTAATTCAATTAAAATTAGATTTTGCCACGTTGAAAATTAAAGGCTTTTGAGAGTCACCTGCAACATTGGATTCTTCAAGTTGTGTCATATTGGTTTAGAATAAAAAGGACACGATAAAAAGCTGCAAATCCTGGCTCTTAATAGATTGACTAAACAAGAAAACAGAGTTGGTTCATGCAGTGATTATTCAATGCAGTGGCAGGGCTGTCCTGTGGAGTTTAGGTATGAAAAATCAGGATTTAGACTCATAAACAAAGCTGCTTACCCTTCATAGAAATACTGATAGGACAGGTATTCTCTGAAGAAGATCCTAACTGTTAAGGGAAATATCTCCATTGATACTATGCAAGTATTATAAAGAAAAGGGCAGAACTGCTGCCTCCGTGTGTGTTTGTGTGTGTAATTGGCACCTCCTATTAGCAGAACTCATTTAACACTGTAGAGTTCCAAAGAAAGCATTATTTTCCAACTTACTTACAACAAATCTTGTTGATTTGTTCAAGTACTATTGTAGGTTCATTGAAGTATTTGCAGAATTTGGCAGGAAAATCAGCTATAACAATTGGTATATTAGGCCATCCCCACGACAGTACTGAAAGATTTACTGGTTTTGTGGTAGGCAGAATTATACAAAAAAATCTTTGGCATGGGGTGGGGAGACCTGGCTTACCTTACAGGTGAAGGATAAAAATGTTTTTTTTTTCTAGGGCAAGGGAGGCACTCATGATGCCAAGGAACTTCTGAAAGTATGTTTTTAATGTGAATCACATGTAAAGTGAAGCACAATTAGCATGGTGATTCTTCAGTTATATATTTTGTTAGTTGCCTCAAAAATTACAATTATGATAAAAAATTTGGGAGGCAGGGATCATGTGCTCTTGTGGTCTCGGGTTGTACACTTCTGCCTTAAGAATAAAATTATTTTAAATAAAATAATTATAATAAAATTACATTTTAATGTTACTGAAAATTACCTTCAACATCACAGTTAAGATAGTTGCGCACTTCTGTCAAAATGAAGTTGATATCTTCTTCGGTTGGTATCGGGTGATGGGTAACTTCAGTTGCAGTATCAGTAGTGCCAGCGATAGTCATCTTTTGCCATGGCAGAAAGAAAATCACTCGCCCATCACTAGTCGATGGGTCAAGAAGTCCCATATTATCAGGGCTAGAAGAAGCCAACAAAAATATTACTTTTCCCCCCCTTTTCTTCCCAGGTTGTTGGAAAATGTTGCTTTGTATAATAAAATAGCAATGAATACCACCTTAGCAAAAAGGGCGCCAGAGACCTAAGAAGAGTACAGGCAATATTGCAGTCATGGATTTGAATCTAATACAGGTAGTCCTCGACTTATGACCACAATTGAGCACAATTGAGCCCAAAGTTTATGTCATTAAGTGAGAATTTTTTGCACGAGTTTTGCCCTGTTTTACAACATTTCTTGCCACAGTTGTCAAGTGAATCACTGCAGCTGATAAGTTAGGAACTTGGTTGTTAAGTGAATCTGGCTTCCCCATTGATTCTGCTGGTCAGGTTGCAAAAAGTGATCACGTCACCCTGAGGACGCTGCAACAGTTATAAGTATGAACCAGTTGCCAAGCAGCTGAATTTTGATCACGTGACCACGGGGAGGCTACAATGGCTGTAACTGTGAAAAACGGTCATAAGTTACTTTTATCAGTGCCGTTGTAACTTTAAACGGTCACTAAAAGAACTTTTTGTTAGGCCTAGAAGCCATCTTTTGCATTGGGCCTTTAGGCCTGCCACATTTAGTCTGTGGGAAAATGGGAGAGGGGATTGTATGGAGTACGGGAGATATATAGTCAAAATAACATTCCTTCACAGAGAGTCAAGGACACCTT